ACGGCTCTGCCGACTCGTCGCCCGCGACTGCGCGCGACCCTGCTCGACGCGAAGACCAAATGCACCTACTTTTGATGCCGGCGGCTAGGCAGGGTAACTGCGCTGGCGGAAGAGCCATCAAAACGGGGATAACGTTGAAGCGAACTGTGCCAAAATGTAGGAGAACGGAGGGAGACATGGAGGGTGGCCGAAGGCGGAGCGAGGGAGCGAGGGCCGCTCAGGGGGACGGGTCACACCCGGAGCAGATGCACCTACACAGCATCACCACGTCTCGCAAGGGCCATCCTGGGCCCGGGGTGGTGTGCAGGAGGACCTCCTGGTCCAGGCCACGAGGGCGTACGCACCACGCCGCGGCCCAAGATGGCCCTGGCCAAGCCTGGCTGAAGAGGCCCAGGGACACACAAGCAAATGGGCACGAATCCCAGCGTTCCCCATGTTTTCACACATTTTCAGGATTTCCGTCTTCCCCCCCGCTTCCCTCAATTTCCCATATGTTCCTGGGGATCGACGATACGCCGTGCCTGTGTAATTCTTCCCCTCCCGAATGGTGGATGTGCGCACGTGCCTCCAGGGGTGCGGGACACCTCAATGCCACCTAGGCGGCCGCTCCGCGGTGGCCAGCTCCCAGCGGACAGGCTCTCAGACCGAGGCCTCCCCGTTGCGGTCTGAGATGCCTCCAGAAGGAGGGGGGCTCACCCGACTCTACTCCTCCCGAATCCTCCCCTGCCCATCCCCTCCCCTCCAATCCCCTCCCTCCCCTTCCCCTCCCCTCCGCGTAACCCTCCCCGAACGCATCCCTCCCCTCCACCACTCCCCTCCTCTCCCTCAGACTACCTGCTTCTCCGCTCCGTTTGACACTTTCCCTCTCCCCTTCGCTGCCCTCACTGGGGAGGTCCCGGGGCTCCTCTTGAGGTCACTGATCACGCCTTTGAGTGGGGGGGGAGGGCAGGGAGTGAGTAGAATCCATTTGGAAGAGTACGCTGTGTTGGTGTCGCAATCCTCCTGTGCTGCCCACTCAGCCCTGCAAAGCGAAGTGGGCGCTAGCGGCGTCTGGCCTATCTGCGGGACGCCCTGGCACGGTCGACTGCGCTGGGTCCATCGCTGCCGCACTTAGGCCACCGCGACGAGGGCCCGCAGCATCGGGTGCCTGATGTGTTTCCTGTCCATGGCGATGGACGGCCTTCGCTGTATCGGCCGTCCCACCCTCACAAATCGTGCATTCCCAGCCCCGCAGCACGAGCATATGTCGCGCTGAAGGATGGGGGCGTCCAGGCGAAAGTGGCGGGGCAGCAGACGCGCGGCGCATAGCCTTAGCTCTGCTCTGTAGCCACGCTCGGGCGCGGCGCGGTTTGGTAAAACAGCCCCTGCTGGTCTCACCTGTTGGACTGGGGGAGGCGAGTCCTGAGGGACACGGGTCCTGGACCCTGGGGCCTCCCGCCAGGACGAAATCTTCATCCCGAGTCGTTTTCTGACAGTCCCGGGGCCCGAAAAAATGGCGCAAATCCTGAGGAGCTGTTTCCCTCAGGACCCGTTTCCCCCATGGCCCATGGCGAACCTTGCCCTCTGCTATCAGAACAGGTCCATGATGAAGTCGCCAGCGGTGTCCGCCGCGCCACCAATCCAGTCCGCAGCGGCGTCCGCGCCACCCGCGATGCCCTCCCCGACCGTGTCTGCGGCGCCCGCGGCCCACTCGCCAGCGCCCGCGGCCCAGTCGCCCAGGCCATCCACGGTGGCATCCCAGCCCTCCTCGACGATGTGCTCTCCGAGGATGGCGCCGCCGACGACGAGCCCACCGACTGCGACCGCACCTGCCGTGCCAGCAGCGACTCTGGCTCCAGTGCTCCAGCCCTTCTTCTCCTTCCTCTCCTTCTCTGGCCTGGCGGCGGGCGCGGCTGCCGCGGCCACCGGTGGCGGCGCTGACGGCTCCGGACCCTGGTCGAGCGCAGCCCCAGCGCACGCCTCCAGCGGCGGCACGGGCACCATCATCGCCTGGCCAGCCTTCGCGCTTGCGGGCACCGAGACGCTGATGAACTGGCGCTTGTCCTTCGGGTGCGGAACCTGGATCGTGGTCCCTGGGGCCCCAACCGGCACCTTCACGCAAGTCATGGGGCCAGGTTCCATGATCGGTGCGGAGGGCGGCTTCCACCTGTGCGGCGGGCGAATGCTTCGCTGCTTGCCCGACGCCGCGTTCTCCTGCACGAGGTTCTTAAAGTCCACCATATACGTCTGGCCGCGCAGGCTGTACTTGGCGTTCGGGAAGCCAGACAGGTAGGCGCGCTTCAGTATCCTGTCCTCCTCGTCCCTATCCGCCACGGTGCCAGCGGCACGCTAGGGCGTGCTAGAATGCTCGCTGCCTGTCCGGTAAGGGTTCTTGAGCACCTCTAGGGCCGACCCCCGACCCCCTCAGAAGAGCGGGTGCCGTGGAGGACCCGCACAGGTTCACTGCCCACTCTGCTCGCCATCGCTCGGACGTCCATTCCCTGTGTTTTTTTCGGTTTCGTGCGTCGTTTTTTCGCCAAATGACCAAGGATGCTCCTCGATGGCCCTCGCCGCGCCCAAGGAAAAATGCACACGCCCGAGCGATGGCAAGCTCTGAGCTTGCGCGGTCCTTCAACTGCGCCCCTCCGCCCTCCCTCCATCGCCCTTCGTCCGCTCGTTAAGCCTTCATTGGCCCATCGTTCCTCGTCCTCGTCCTCGTGGCGAACTGGGAACAAGCTCAGGTTCAAGACCCGCGCCAGTTCAGATCGAGCGCTGAACCAGCGTGGGTCTTTTGACCTCAGCCTCCTTCCTGCTGCGAGTATGCCCCGGCACGGTGGAAGGGGGGTGCCGCAAGCAAATCGATAATCTTTCCACTCGCCCGAGAGCTGAACTTGGAACTTGCCAGCGGGGACCGGGAACAGCTTCTGCCCACGCTTCGGGGGCATCGCGCTGACTGTGTGTTCCACCACCGCGCAGGTCCTGAATATGGTCCAAGAGGAAGCTGCTCGATCCGAGACGCCCTCGACAGAAGCTGCTACAGACGGCCATCGCGATGACACTTGTGATAATTGCCATGCACACGCTGTTCATGTTTGAGGGTTTCGACACCTTCCAGCGCGCTGAGCCCCTCCCTCGCCACACAAAGACACTCGCACGCTTGTAGCCATCCCCGTCTTGGCACGGCCACTGCGCCTCTAGCTCCTCCAGTTCCTGCAAAAGGGGCGGTCCGCTCCGCAAGCCAGCACCTTCCCTTAAACAGGGATCGACAACTGACCAGGAGAAAACCAAAGGCCCACCAGGAGAAAAAGGGAGACCTGGCGCGAGAGAGGGTTCCTGGGGGTTCTCCTCCTTCTCCTCCTCCTCCTCCGCACGCTGATTCATAGAAACGTTCGGAGGCCCGCGCGGATCTCTTGGGCTGTCACACCATGAACAAACAAGCGTGCCCTGGAGGAGGAAAGGCGCCCTGGGCACTGCCGCACTCTCCAGGGACCCAAGGGTCCTCCCCCACGGGCCCCCGCGGACCGTCAATCCGACGACCTGGGACAAAGAACTGGCCCATGGGGCAGGCCCCGAGGTGTACTTATACGCGTAAACCAATCGAACATAACGTGTGAGAGAGGGAGAGATAAAACAACAGCAACAACAGCAACAACAACAACAACAACACTTACAACAACAACAACAACAACAACAACAACAACAACAACAACAACAACAACAACAACATCAACACCAACAACAACAACAACAACAACAACAACAACAACAACAACAACAACAACAATTACTAGCACGTGGGGACACTCCGTTCTCACCAGTGCCAGGGTTTTCATACGACGCCCGGCAATACCCCCACTTTGTGGGGGGGCCGGTTCAAGCTCTACCAAATTTCCAAACGACTCTTCGCCACCACCCACACCCAGCTTCCCGCCCTATGACGTTCGGACACTTCACTTCGTGGCCTGCGGACGACCGTGGCTACTACACTGGCGCATGGGTACAGTGACTTGTTGTGGTAAACGAAAACGATGAAAACATGGCTATGTTAGAAGGGATGATGGCCCTGGCAGGTGCGCAACCGTTGTTGGAGAAGTTCGAAGCACGTGAAAAAGTTGCTCGCAAAAGCCCGTTTGACAGAAATATTTAAAAAGTGTTGGGTTTCCTACAAATCCGCAAGAGCGCGCGGGATGAAATTTTGACATTTTTTTTTTGAAAAACCATTGGTTTTTTGATGTTTTTATGTTAAAATCGTTACGAACACTAAGGTTTTGGAAGGATTTCGTCTTGCGCGCGCGAATGTCCACTTTACCTTATTTTTTGCAAGGGATTCTTGAAGTTTGGTTATGTTAGAACAAGAAATGTCCACTTTGCCTTATTTTTTGCAAGGGAAAACCGCCCGTAACAAAACAACCGGATCCGGACCAACCCGTTTTGCCGGAGACTTCCTCACGAAAATGATGAAAACATGGCTGCGGCCTAGGCGCGGCGAGGGGGCCGTGCACCAGGGGTCCCAACAATAATTATTCTTTAGAAGTAATAATGTTCAACAACAACAACAACAACAACAGCACCAACAACAACAACAACAACACCAAAGACAGCAACACTTACAACAACAACAACAACATCAACAGTTACAACAACAACACCAACGACACAAACAACAGCAACAATAACAGCAACACAAGCGACAGAGAGAGAGAGGGAGGGCAGAAGAACTGCCCTCCTCTCTCACCCCCCTCCTCCCTCCTTCCATCCCTCCCTCCCTCGTCCGCACACCCCCCTGTTCCTACCCTCCCGTCTCCTCCCCCTTCCCTCGATCCCCCGACCGCACACGCCATCCCTACCGTCTCCCGCCGCCCGCCCGCCGCGTCCTGCCTCTCTCCCTGTATCCTCTATCCTCCATCCTCCCACGTCCTCTTCCTCCGCCTCCTCCTCCTTCTCATCATCATCAGCATCTTCAGCATCATCATCATCAGCAGCATCATCATCATCACCAGCATCAGCATAGGCATAAGCATAAGCATCATCATCAGCATCATCAGCTTCAGCATCAGCATCAGCATCAGCATCATCATCATCTTCATCTTCATCACCATCACCATCATCACCATTATTCTAGCATTAGTCATCGTCACCCTCATCATTAGCATAATCATCAACATCAGCATAAGCATCGTCATCATCACCATCGTCATCATCATCATCATCAGCATCATCATCATCGTCAGCATATCACCTGCATCATCAGCATCATCATGTGTACCATCAGCATCATCGTCACCATCATCGTCGCCATCATCATCGTTATCATCGTCATCAGCAGCAGCAGCGTCACTACCATCCTCATCATCCTCATCATGATCATCAACATCATCATCATCAGCCTTCATCCGCAGCCTCGTCATTACCATCACCATCAGCATCGTCATCATCATCTGAACGCTCATCCTCAGCATCGCTATCCTCATCACCAATTCCAACACCATCCCCACCATCATCATCAACATCAACATCAGCATCGTCATTATCATCCTCATCCTCATCATCATACTCATCATCATCATCATCATCAACAACAACATCAACATCAACATCAACATCAACATCATCACCGACTGCATCATCAGCAGCATCATAATCGTCAGCATCAGTTGCATCATACTAATCATCAACAGCATCATCAGCGTCATCATTATCATCAGCATCATCAGCTTTAGCATCATCATCTGTTGGTGTCGTCCTCATCCAGATTATCACCAGCTATGGTATCGGTCTCATGGTCCTCTGCCGTTCTTCTGACCGACGTCACCGTGGCCGTCGCGGTGGCGATCACCGGAGTCGGCACGACTTACGCCATGGCTGTTATCTTGAACGCGATGTTGTCTCTCTCGTCTGCGTTTCGCTTCCTCCTGCTTGGGATACTCGACCCAAATCACAACAATGTTGTCATTTGTTGATAGCTGTGCGGTAGGTCCGGTGCACGCAGCCACGCCGAACTGTGGGAATACCTACAGAATTCCCGGATCCAACCTCCTGGCCAAGTTCAGAGACCGGAGGAAACGGAGTGACACAAAGAAAGGAAGCACGAGAAGGAGGGACGGAGAGAGCAGGAAGCGGAGGGGAAAAGGGAGGGAGAAGGGGAGGACGGGGAGCATGGGAAGAGTCAGGGATTGCAGAAGCACAGGAGGGAAGGGCCTGATCGAAAGATCGAGCTTACAAACACCTTGGAAAAGAATCGCACTGCGTTCCAAAGACGCCGGGTCTTTAGTAAACCCCCGGGCAATAATGAGAAAATCCGTAATTTCGTCCGCCGGCTTCTTGACAGATTGGGACCCCGACAGTTGTTGGAAATTAAATATTCTCGTCGGCGGATTCATGAGAGGTCATGAGAAATGCTCAAAAATCCCATCGCTCAACGCCTCCCTCCTCCTCCTTAATTATTCTCGACGTCGTCCTCCCTCCTCCTCGAGTCTACGAAACGGAGCCCAGAACAGGGGGCGGAGGAGGAGGAGGAGGAGGAGGAGGAGGAGCAGGAGGAGAAGGAGGAGGAGGAGGAGGGGGAGGGGGAGGAGGAGGAGGAGGAGGAGGGGGAGGACGACGACGGAGGGGAAGGAGGAGGGAAGGGAAGGATGAGGAGGGACGAGTTTCTATTCCCCGCCGAGAGCTTAGGGGGGGGGCATCATTAAAGACCCTCTGCGGTTATTGCACCTGGTATCCAGATGGCTGGGGAACGGGTAGTCGGTCGGGGAGCGCGAGGAAGGGCGTCCGACCATCTCACCATCTTGCCCGGGGTCGGCAGGGGGCCACGAGGCGGCCGGAGACGGTGCGGTTCTGAGGTCCTGACCCGTGGCGACCCCAGCCATCCCAGGGAGGCCCACAGGCCGCATCCGGAGCAGCCCTCACGAGGCCCAGGGAACCCCCGGGGGCCCCAGCTGGCCCGACAACCAGACGGGCTCCCCTGTGCCAGGATCGGGAGGGACGAGGGGCGGGTGTACCTCAAGGAGGAGGAGGAAGAAGAGGAGGAGGAGGAGGAAGAGGAGGAAGAGGAGGAGGAGGAGGAGGAGGAAGAGGAGGAGGAGGCGGGTGCAGCCCTCGCGCCACCACGGGGAGCGCTGGGCGCAAGCAGCAGGCGGGGCCTCCGGGGCCTCGGCCGCGAGGCCTCGGCCGCGGGATGTCGGCCGCGGAGAGGGCCGCCCCGAGAGCCGAGTGCGAAGGGCTGCCCGAGAGCCAGGGCCCCTCCCGAGCCCCAACTTCGGAGAACGTGGGAGGACACAGACAGAATCACACCAGGGAAAAACCCCAATCAGTGGATGGTTTGCTGAGATCAAGGGTGAGATCAATTGAAAGAGATGAATAATGCGATCGATCATGGGATCGGTAGAGCATCGTGGGATCGAGAAAAAAATCGATAAGAAGATCGACCGGGAAACCAGGAACCCGGAACCCACCGAAATCAGCCCCGAACCAATGACCAAGAACTCGGGAACCTGGAACCGGGAACCCGGGAACCCAGCCGGC